GGCGGCCAGCCGTGGCGGCCGGCGTTCGAAAGCTGCGAGCACTCGCCCCAGCAGGACAACGGGCACGACTGCGGGGTGTACGTGATGGCGGTCGCGGCGCGGCTGTGCGGGTGGCAGGCGGCAGCCCCCGCGCAGCTGCTGGGGCGGCTGCCAGAGCTGCCAAAGCTGGTGACGCCCGCAGCCGTGCACGCGCTGCGGGGGGAGGCGCTGCTGCTGGTGCGGGAGCTCGCTGCGAGGGAGGAGAAGGGTTTGTAGGTTGGGGCTGAGGGCTGCTGCCCGTTGTGTCCTTCAACAGCTGGCCAGCACCATGCCATCCCTGCTAACCTACGGTGGTGGTGTGATCAGCGCTCGCAACACAGCTCCTGAAGCGTCGGTCCTTTCTAAGGTTTATGGTTTTTGTTTTTGTTTCAGAAGCTGTACAGAAATCAAAAGCTGTACAGAAATCCTTGCAAATAACCATCGGTCAGGTTAGTAAAGCTGTCTGTTGCTGGATTTTGTTTCCCTGCCTGTACTTCCATCTGGTGACGCAGCCAATGAAGGCCTACATTTACAAGGCTTCATCCGGCATCACTTCTTTCCGCCAAAAACACCGTGTTGTAAGTTGTAATCAGTATCGTACAAAGGCAAGGCTGAGCCCAAATGGGGCCATCGCGCGACGGCTTCAAGAGGACCAGCGCTGCAAGCTACGCCGCGGGGCGACACCCGGCTTGCATTGGCGTGTGAGAGCACACACACACCGGCGGCATTTCTGCAAGCGCGCGCACGCGCCGCGATACGTTCGCGGCAACGTGGAGGGAAATGCTTTCGCTCGACGCGCAAGGTGCAAGGCAAGTGCAGAGACGCAAGCGCCGAGGCCCTGAAACGCGTGAAAGCGTACGAATGTGCTCGCCATCCCGTCCCCACACGGTCTCAAAGCACAGCCTCTCTGGACCCTCTCTTCTCTCAAACGCCACAAAGGCGCCGGCAGCATCACAAGCAGTTGGTAGGATTGGGGAGGCGGCTTCAGCCTCCGCGCAATCGGATGCTTCCGGCGGGCGGAAGGGGCGCCGAGGCGGGCGGCATTGGGGGCAACATGCATGGCAAGCAGTTGGGCACCGCGACAAGGCGTTGATCTGTGGGCGTGTACACGCGGGCAAGCCCACGACCTGTGTCTGTCTTGAAAGCCGCGAGCAAACACTGAAGCACACAGGACGCAAGTGGGAGGAGAGCGGAGGGATGCGATGCGGGCAGGCGCCGGGTCGCGCCCAAAACGGCTCGACGGCAGCGCCGCAAGGTGTGTGGTTGTGTGTGACGAAACGCCGACGGTCAACGTGACGCAGCGGCGCAACACGGCTACTACCACACCGGGAAGTGGGCACAGGCAGGCAGGCACGTCAAGCAGTAGAGTGAAGATAGTACAGTGTTTCCCAGCCAGGCAGCCAAGGGGCAGGCGGCTCCCAGCACGGGCGCGGCCGGGCGCAGCGCACTTGGCGCTTTGAGAAGCACGCGCCACACTGCAGGGAACCCCTAGAGCCGTTGGCCGCCGGCGGCACTAGTAAAGCGTCCTCAACTGCAACGCAGGCTCCCAGGCTGCGCGCGCGGTCGGCCCTCGAGCACGCACATGCCGCCCGTAAACAGCCGGCGGCGACGCGCTTATTCGCAGCGCGCGTGCAGCGGCGCAGCGCTATACGCACCACAGGTCGCAGAACTGTGGTGTTGGTGACACCGCAATGCGGGACAGACTGTCAGGAGCGCATGCGGTCGCGTGCCGCCCCCCGCACACGGGAGGGGGCGGGGGAAACCCATGGAATTGAAGGCCAGAAAGTGCAAGCGATGGTTGAGACGACAGAACGCGGCGCCAGGCGTGGCACTGCCGGGGGTCTCTGGGGCATGAGCTGCCGAGCCAACGCCCAAAGTGCCCCCAACGACGTATGCCACGCCTGCACGCGCCTTGTCGCTCGCAATAAGGGAATGCCCCGGCCACAGCTGCTGCAAGAGAGCAAGACAAAGCAGGTCGGGGAGGTTTGAAGAGGAAGAGGAGGCCGGCCGAGCCCAGCCGCGCAGTCTCGGCAAGGCGCATTTGCCACCTGCCCTGCGCGGCCGCCCACAAGCGGCGGCCGTCTGCGCCCCGATTGGGGCGTGCTATGGCCGTCGCCACACGCGGCGCGGCGGCCAGAAGTGAGTCAAGTGCATGCGCCGCGGCGTGGCGGCGCGGCAGTGAGCCGGCTCACAGCCGCGGACGAGGGCCGCGACGTGCGTCGGGAAGTTGCTGCCGCGCGCGCGGCCGAGCGGGGCGCTGGCAGCTTGCGCTGCCTACGCGCCCACGGGCGCCCAGCTACGGTGGTACATGATAAGAATGAGAGACGCCATGGGGCCGCGACGGTGGATCGAGGGACGGTTTGGGGTGACGAAAAGCCGAGGGAGCGAGGGGGAGATTCGAGGGCGCCTCCGCGCGCGCGCGCTGCGCCCGGCGCACCGGCGCCCCCCCGCACGATCGCGGCGGGCGGGACGGGGCGGGGCGCTTGGGGATGCGCGCGCGCGGGGGGCGTGCTGTCTCACTCGCTCGACACTCCGGGGCGGGCCGCAATGGCGGCCGCGCTCGAAGACGCATCGTCCTGCAAATGAAATTGGCCGGTCCAAATCTGCCGGGCGCGTTGCGGACAAAAGAACGGGCGCCTAACGGACTCCCAAATCAGATTCCAAAGCAGCAGCAGGACAAGGCTGCCTCTACCCTGCATCGTCAAGGGGTGCCGCGGCCAGGCGCCCGCGCCCCGTCAAAGAGGCATCGCCGAGGTGGCGAACTGCCCCGACGCGCGGGCGGCGCAGCGCTGCGCGACGCCCCCAGAAGCGCGGCGTCATCACTGCGCCTGCGCGCCGCCGGCGCCGCCGCCGGCCAGCCACGGGTGCGCCAGCGCCTCACGCGCGCCGATGCGCCTCTCGGGGTCGCGCTCCAGCAGCGCGCCCAGCAGCGCGCGCGCGCCCGGCGACAGCGCCGCCGTCGACGGCGTGTCGAGCATCACGTTGCCCGCGCCGACGTCCTGCAGCACCTGCCGCGTCGGCATCGCCTTGAGCGTCTCCAGGTCGCAGTCCCAGTAGGGGAACCGCCCCGTCAGCAGCTGGTACAGCATCACGCCCACGCCCCACAGGTCCGACGCGGGCCCGTAGGGCTGCCCGGCCGCGACCTCAGGCGCCATGTAGACGGGCGTCCCGCTGAGGCCCTCGAGGGAGGACTCGTCGGGGCAGGCCTGGGCGCAGCCGAAGTCGACGATGCGGACGTCCAGGTTGCCCTTGGGCATCGAGGGGTCGGCGAGGTGGAGGACCGAGGGGTAGAGGGAGGCCAGCATGAAGTTGGCGGGCTTGACGTCTTTAGAACAGGGGGGAGAGGGTGGGCGGCGGAGCAGGGGGAGGGGTCAGGCGGGGCAGGCTGGGGAGAGGTGTGCGAGGGGGATGAGGAAACAGGCGCTGAGGGGCGCAACATAGGGCCCAAGTGGGCGGCCGCGCACGGCAGTGGGCAGGTGGGCGCGCACCTCCGTAGCAGATGCCCTCCTCGTGGCAGGCCGCCAGCGCGCCCAGCACGCCGCGCAGCGCCGCGGCGGCCTCGGCATCGTCGAGTTTGCCGTGGGCGTCATAGAGGGCCTGCAGGGAGCCGCCGACCAGGAGCTCCTGCACTATGTAGATCGAGTAGGCGTCCACGTAAATGGCGTGGGTGCGGCACACGTTGGGGCACGCACGGACGCGGTAGGCCATCATCGCCTGCGGG